ATGTCCGATAGAGTATGGGCGATTGGATTGGGCAGCCAACTCGCCCTGGCTTTCACTAGCCGAATTCCTCCCGTATTTTCCGCCGCAGCTACTCCTATTGAACACCAAATTCACTTAGAGCAACTAGTCGATTCAAGGGCAAATTACCGTCGTCCGAATATGTGAGAGCTGGGATTTCCTCCATGGTTAAAAACTCCTCGATTCTTCGCACCGACACTTTGGCTTCCTCATACGAGGAATGCGCCAGTGGGAAGAATATTGACATGTACAATTGTATGGTGTTGAGCAGCTGGGCTACTGAGAAAACCACCTCGCCTGTAGAAGAAAATGAAGTGAATCTAGTTGGAGATGGGACTTAGGCCACGCCTACCTGTTATCCGGTTTCCTAGTAGGACGTAGGAAATAACAGCGATGTAAAGAGTAGCGCGCTCGACAAAAATGTTCAAAGCCGAAGAAAAGCCTCGGATGTACGAGTTTCGGGCAATCATGTTGACTTCTTTTCTACAAGACCTTTTTTACAAACTGGGCTGCACTAGCCAAAGCTGATTACCATTACCTGCGTGAAAACTCCACAATTTTTTCAAACGGTTTCTCCCAAGCATACATTTTAATCACCTGAATCCCCGACGTGATTTCATTCATTAACTTCACTCTTTGGTCGGTGAGTGTGGCGATTTTTCCCCGGAACTTCCCTTGCAGCCTGGATAAGTAGCCTGAAAGGGACGAAACTCGTAAAACTTCAGTTCGTGCTAACGAATGGATTTCACCTTGTCCCAGAACTGCCTGAATGGTCATCACCAGCATGGTAGGAAAAGCCGCAGTTTGTATGTAACTGTACATAACAATCAAGCCGGCTATTCCTTGCAAGGGCATTATCCAGATGTAGTGGAGGAAAGCCAGGGCGAAATCAAATCGAACCACATCATTGGATAGTAAATTGACCAATTGGCCAGCAGCAGTTTTTCCGGACGAAATGTGATTCAATCGCAGCAACTACTCAAACAGACCTTACAACCCACCATGTGCAGGATGAGGATGATTCAAATTGGCGCCACTTTCTTTTGTGGTTAGATTCGAAATTGCGCTCTTCAAAACTTTAAATGCGTAACCATGTCGAGCATGCATAAAGTTTATCTTTGCTGTCACGATTCTAAATTTGTTTATTAGAAGCAAGATTAGAAGCAATTAATCTAATAAAGTCAAAGTAAAATTATCGAAAAGCTATTCGCGAGTTCAACTACCGCGCCGCTGCAAAACGTCAAATGACTCGTTGTCGAGTGACAGTTGAGACTTGTTAGACTTGCTTATTTATTGGAGCTGATGACATTTATAATATAAAACAATACTTACACACTTTTCGATCTGCTTCTATCTCTTTAAAAGCTGCTTTAAAAGTTGATTAGAACAAAACAAAACAAATTACAATCAGATGTCAACATCAATGTGACACCCATGTCAACAAAACAACTGTCAAATTACTACTTAGCTTGCAGTTCTAATTTTACCCACCAGGGGGCGTCTGGACTTTCGAACTCGCGAACGCCATTAAATGCATAGTTGCAAAGTTTTCCCTTTAGCTTTTTGCAAATATCTCATCCTCAAGCGGCGTGGCACCAAATTTGAATCACCCTGGATAAAAGACTTGCAGTACCTTTCGATAAATCAAGGAGCAGCAGGCTATGCGCACTCTCATCCCCACCCTGGAACAGTTGACGATAGTGTAATGCATGGCAACCATGTTCAAAAAGGCCAGCAATATCACGCCACTTCCGAGCGACCATCCCGTGGTGGCGTCACGAGTTGAGCTCTTCTCAAAGTACTTGATGTAACGGCCCAAGACAATTGGCTGGGTCATTCTGCAAATAAATGCGAAGCTTACCAATCTTCCCTGGAGGAGTTTCAGCTGACTTACTTTATTAGGAAAGTGTTGAGGAATATTAGGAAGCCGATGAACATGTAGGACTTGCCGATGGTTTTCCATATTGCCCGTTTTAAGCTGGGACGTTTTCCAGATTTTTGAGCTCGAAGCACTTCTTCGTTCCAGTTTCTGTAATGGAGATAATTCGTCTGAGGGAACAAGTTTTTGAGGAAAAATGGCTCTAAAACTCCCAATTTTAGAGTTGATTTAGATATGTGATCTTGATGTTCATGTGCAGAAAATCCAGGGAAATCAGTATTACTCAGACGCTCTGAAGATGCCAGTTTCTCGTGCTGGCCAAACGTCAGGGAGAAAATCGGTTACACGATTTTATAAAGGCACAGAGCTTTTTGTGCTCTTAAGTTGTCGTGGAAACGAATTTCGGCCCGACGTTTCGCAAACACGAGTGGCTTGCACCTTCAGAGGTGTGCCGCAAATAACAATAAACATCAATATCTGAAAAATTTGTTAATATTCAAGGAAATAAGAACATAGAAAACGCATTTAAAAGCTGAACTAATCACATGGACAAATATGCGAAAAATATGACGCGATAATACACGTCAGATACATCTTGAATCACACGTAAACTTGAACTAGCGCCAAATATTAAAAATCTAAACCCAGAAAAAGGATGAAAATGAATAGTGGAAAACATAAAAAGTTAAGGCTGTAAAGGTAGAAAAGCTTGAAATTACCATTTTTACAGAATGACCAGGTAAAATTGAGCAAAAAACCCCTTTTAAAGAGAGGAATAGAATCATGATCATCCACATCCCAAAAGAACCACAGATGTTCAGTTCTGAAGGACACAAAGGAAAGAAAATTCAATTAAAACTTAGGAACTGAGTAGAACGGGAAGTCACGTCCTATTGACGACTGTTGTGGCCCAAAAACACTTTGTTCAAAAACGGGGACAATTTGACGAGATAATCACGTCTGGCAAAATTATTTTCCTCAAGCCACAAAATGTCAGAAAAAAATGTTTTTTTTTTGTGAGAAATCTAAGGATCTAAAGTAAACCTTTCGAGATCACCCTGTATATTATTAGTGGCTTTACGTAGTCGGTACTAGAGATAAAGTGTTTAAATCATTCATACATTTCAATGTTTAACTTCAGTAGAAACATCTTTATATCAGGACTTATACTGAACGTGAGAATGACGGGAGAAAGACGAGACAAATACGTCCAAGTAACGTGAATTTTAGGAAAAAATCACGTCGACGAACGACGAAAATGCGTCAAAATCTACTAGAGAGCACAAATCAGAAAGGGTGTGGGTTAAACTTATGAAAACAACACTGACTAAAAAACTAAAAAAGACATCAGAAACGTGGAAAGAAACGAAACTGGAGAATTTTTCGCGCTTTAGGCCGGTGTGGACAAGGAATTCTTCCTGACGTTTCGCAACACGATTGCGGTCCATCTTCAAACAGAAACTTGAAATTCAGAGTCGCGCAAAATTCGGGTGCTCGCTATCAAGTCGATGCGGGCTTGAAGAATTTCGCTTCCTTACATACTTTAAAAAATAGTAATTTCCAATCGAGATCAAGTAGGAACTTGAAATTCGCGTTATCTATCGAGGATATTTTAATATTTAAGTGCTTAAAATGTAATTGAAATCGCACGAAATACTGGTGTTTTCTATACAAGAGAAATCTGACTTAAAACGGCAAGTTTATCACATTTACGCGATTTTCTGTAAAAAATGGTAACTCAAACGAGATCAAGTAGAGGCCTGAAATTTTTATGATCTTTGAGAGAGTTAAATCTTTAAGCCTTGAAATATCGAACGTGGAAAAACAACGAAACTGTTGAGTTTTTCGGGCGTTTAGGACGCTAAAAACACCAGTTTCGTTTCTTTCCATGTCGCAAATTTTTTCGAACAAGAATTTTTAAACGCGGAAATTTATCAGCCGGATAAACTACGTTCTGAATATTCCAATACATAATAGTTTATGCACTGTGTTGATTAATGCGAAGCAGATGACTTGGTACGTGACCTCAATCGTACAAAGTAATTAATGAGAATCAACGAAAAATTGATAAATTGAAATGACGAACAATTTCTGCTCGCTCGAAACTGATAGTGAAAATGTTAATTGTTTGTAAGAGGTTTCAATATGTTCGCATGCAAAAAACCCTGGCTGAAAACTTGTAACTTTAATTAAGTGCCTCAGACATTCGCTTAATTGAAGAGTGTCTTGCGATTAACCAACGTAAAATTGATAAGATTTCGCGTCATTAACTTAAAAAAAAATAAAAAAAAACAAACTCGTTACTAAAAACATTCCTGCATTATCATACCTTTCTAAAATGTCTCCTAAAGGTTGGGACAAGTCGCCTTTGGTTGTGTTGTAGATGTCTTTGACTTGCAAGTCCTTTTGGTAGCCGAGTTTGAAAAATGGCAGCACCCAACTGGAACAATATCAAAACCAATCAGTTTTTAGAGTTTTTTGATCTCTGATTTCGTTTTCTTTAGCTTCCACAATTATTAGATTGAAAAAATCCGCGCCACTGAAAAACAAACGGTTTTCTTGGGAACTTTTCTTCGTAATAAATGATAATGAATAATTAAGAGTCAATTAACGTCTCCAATCACCAGCAAATTGCTTATTTCTTCACTAACCGAACAAAGTTCTCACCATTCATTCGCATACATTTATTAACTGCGGGTTTTCCTTGTAGATTTTGCTAAATCATGTTGCGTTCAAATTAAGGAAATTTTTATGTATATACTGGATGGCTCATTAAGGCGTCAAAGTGTGATATTTTTAGTTTTTGGCGTGGAGTAGAAGTGGTTTTAAAAGTTATTTTTAATACACCGGGAGCGTGTTAAACGGGTTTAGTAATCAACTATGGTTTTTCAAAGGGAACTTTGTATTTTTGGCATTTTCGCTTTTACCTCCAAATTTTTACGTCATTTTATTTCAGATGTTTTATCTGAAATAATTATTTATGGTTTTCGAATTATTCGCAAAAATGTGAAGGTTTGAGTTCCACAGAGATCGGCGCTGTGCCCTAATCGCTGCCAATTGGGGAATGGCCAATTCCACTCTAGAATGCTTTCTTAAAAAAAATAAAGATTTTCAAGTGAGATCAAGTAGAAACATGAAATTCATGCAACCTGTATAAGAAACTTGAGTCTTGATGTTCTTGCAATTTTATTGAAATCGCGTGATATCTAGATGTTTGCTAACCAAATCAATTTAGGCGTAAAATGACCAACTTTAAACACTTACGCGGTTTTATTTAAAAAATCGTAACTTTTAATTGCGGATAAACATAAACTCGATTTTTTTACTTTCCATAGGAGAGACTTTTATATGTAAGCTCTTAAAATTTCTTTGAAATCGCGCAATAGTTGGATGTTTGGTAACCAAATCAATTTTGGCTTAAAATTACCACTTTACACACTTACGCACTTTCCTTTAAAAAAATCGTTACTTTTTATCGCGAGCAAATGTAACCCTTGACATTTTTACGGTCGATAGACGAAACTTGAATCTTGAAGTTCTTGAAACTTCATTGAAACCGCGTGATATTTGGATGTTTGGTAACTAAATCAATGTTGACACAAAATGACCAACTTTACACACTTACGCGGTTTTAGTTTAAAAAAATCGTAACTTTCAATAGCGATGAAGCATAAACTTGAAATTTTTACCGTCGATAGAAGACACTTGAATCTTGAAGTTATAGAAACTTCATTGAAACCGCGCGATATTTGGATGTTTGGTAACTAAATCAATTTTGGCACAAAATTACCACTTTACACACTTACGCACTTTTCTTTAAAAAAATCGTTACTTTTTATCGCGAGCAAATGTAACCCTTGACATTTTTACGGTCGATAGACGAAACATGAATCTTGAAGTTCTTGAAACTTCATTGAAACCGCGTGATATTTGGATCTTTGGAAACCAAATCAATGTTGGCACAAAATGACCAACTTTACACACTTACGCGGTTTTATTTTAAAAAATCGTAACTTTCAATAGCGATGAAGCATAAACTTGAAATTTTTACCGTCGATAGAAGGCACTTGAATCTTGAAGTCATAGAAACTTCATTGAAACCGCGTGATATTTGGATGTTTGGTAACTAAATCAATTTTGGCACAAAATGACCAACTTTACACACTTACGCACTTTCCTTTAAAAAATCGTAACTTTCAACAGCAATGAAGCATAAATTTGAAATTTTTACCGTCGATAGAAGACAGTTGAATCTTGAAGGTCTTGAAACTTCATTGAAACCGCAAATGACCAACTTTACACACTTACGCTGTTTTATTTAAAAAAATCGTAACTTTCAACAGAAATCAAGCATAAACTTGCAATTTTTACCGTCGATAGAAGACACTTGAATCTTGAAGTTATTAAAACTTTATTGAAACCGCGCGATATTTGGGTGTTTGGTAACCAAATCAATTTTGACACAAAATGACCAACTTTACACACTTACGCACTTTCCTTTAAAAAATCGTAACTTTCAATAGCGATCAAACATAAACTAGACATTTTTGCCGTCGATAGAAGAGACTTGAATCTTGAAGTTCTTAAAACTTCATTGAAATCGCGTGATATCTGGATGTTTGGTAACCAAATCAATTTTGGCTTAAAATGACCAACTTTAAACACTTACGCGGTTTTATTTAAAAAATCGTAACTTTTAATTACGGATAAACATAAACTCGATATTTTCCTGTCCATACAAGAGACTCTTTTATGTAAGCTCTTAAAATTTCATTGAAATCGCGTAATATTTGGATGTTTGATAACCAAATCAATTTTGGCACAAAATGATCAACTTAACACACTTACGCGGTTTTATTTTAAAAAATCGTAACTTTCAATAGCAATCAAGCATAAACTTGCAACTTTTACCGTCGATAGAAGACACTTGAATCTTGAAGTTATTGAAACTTTATTGAAACCGCGCGATATTTGGATGTTTAGTAACCAAATCAATTTTGACACAAAATGACCAACTTTACACACTTACGCACTTTCCTTTAAAAAATCGTAACTTTCAATAGCGATCAAACATAAACTAGACATTTTTGCCGTCGATAGAAGAGACTTGAATCTTGAAGTTCTTAAAACTTCATTGAAATCGCGTGATATCTGGATGTTTGGTAACCAAATCAATTTTGGCTTAAAATGACCAACTTTAAACACTTACGCGGTTTTATTTAAAAAATCGTAACTTTTAATTACGGATAAACATAAACTCGATATTTTCCTGTCCATAGGAGAGATTCTTTTATGTAAGCTCTTAAAATTTCATTGAAATCGCGTAATATTTGGATGTTTGATAACCAAATCAATTTTGGCACAAAATGACCAACTTTACACACTTACGCTGTTTTATTTTAAAAAATTGTAACTTTCAACAGCAATCAAGCATAAACTTTAAATTTTTACCGTCGATAGAAGACACTTGAATCTTGAAATTCTTGAAACTTCATTGAAACCGCGTGATATTTGGATGTTTGGCAACCAAATCAATTTTGGCACAAAATGACCAACTTTACACACTTACGCGGTTTTATTTTTAAAAATCGTAACTTTCAATGGCAATCAAGCATAAATTTGAAATTTTTACCGTCGATACAAGACATTTGAAGCTTGAAGTTCTTGAAACCTCATTGAAACCGAGTGATATTTGGATGTTTGGCAACCAAATAAATTTTGGCACAAAATGACCAACTTAACACATTTACGCGGTTTTATTTTAAAAAATCGTAACTTTAAATCAAGTAGCAACTTGAAGTTCTCATCATCTGTAAAGAAAACTTGTGAATGTAATGAAAAATCATTAGGTACTGGAAACTTGAAGCGAGCTCATGTACAAACTTGAAATTCTCATTATTTATCGAAGAGATTCGATTGAATCCTTCAGTCTTGGAAAGTTTTTAAGATCGCCCGAAACCCGGATTATTTATCAATTTATTTATTTTGCTAATGCAAAAAGATGTAGAAGTACCTAAATCAAAAAATTACAAAAATTGAAAGAAACAAAACTGGCAAGTTTTTCGAGCTTAAAAAAATTCCGGAAGAAACTCTTTTACGACGGCCTAAAAACTCGAAAAATTAATCAGCTTCAAAAGGAAACCTTTAAACAGTTTCTGTTCCGAAATATTGCACAAAACAAGGTATAAATAATGCTAGAAAAGAAGACATCTTGAGATCACACACTAAAATAAACGTTAAATGCTCATGCAAATTAATAAAAGCAGAGATAAATGGGCGAAATTAATACACAAAGAGATGGAAATGTGAAGTGGATTTAATTAAAAAATGTTTAAACAGAATTAAACATTAATGACAATAAATTAAACGCAGATTGGTCACGTTTACAGAACGACTACAGAGAAATGAGCAAAAATTCTCCTTCTAAAGAGATGAGATCATGAACATCAACATCTCAAAAGAAGTGATAATATAAAAAAGACGCAAATTAAACGAAATTAGAACTTTTGTCGGGAAAAATGTATTAATTAAACTGAGAAGTTCAAATATCGATTCTTTATTATTTGAAATCGGCAACTTTTTCTTTCAGGAAAAACGCTTGTTTTTGAAAAAAATTGTACGAAATGAAAATTATTAAAATAAAATGGCAATTTTTATTAAAACTGATAAATCAATGGTGAGATAAAACGTGCTTGCTGCAAAAGAAAACCGACCGCAACAAACATTAACCGGATATAATTAGTACATCGGCACATCTGGTTGGTTAGAACGGCCTGGGAACATTCACACGCTATTGGGCGCGTTCGAATAGTTAAATCCATAAAACTTGCCAAAAGAAGAGTTTGTTCAACCAGCTGGCCGATTCTTCCGGACTGGGATTGTCGAACTTCTTCGTCGAGTCCATTCCGGCGTCTCCAAACGGCCACTTGCTCCCTTTTATTTGGGAAAAAAATCACCACCGACTAAACTCTAAACATTTCCAATTTTCGCTGAAGAGAATCTAAGGTTAGGAAACACGCAGGTGATACAGTTTGGCAATGTCAAGGTTATGATAATTAACGGTTACGACCACTCAGGGGCTGGCTTAACCACTGTTGGCTCGACGGCGCGCTTTAGGTTAACTGATTTGTTGAGAATTATTGAACCGACTGCGAAATTCACGTGGTTGGTCGATGTCGCAATTTAAACATATCTATTTATACATAGTCATTCCGTTGGATATCCACTATGCTGATAATGCCAATTGATTTGTGGAATCTGGCGACTCGAGCATATTTCAATTTAGGTCATTGGCAATTTCATTGATAAGAAATCAGGGTCGCTTATTGTGTAATAATCGATAAAACGTAATGTTCGATATCTTTGAGGAGGGCGTTTCTAGGTTAAGCGTATCCGGATTTTTCCGGATATTAGTTGAATTTGCCGCCATTACACCCATCTGACAGCTGACAGCTGACAGCTGACAGTAGTTTCCGTTAGGATTGGGCTGTATTAGGGTGGGGAGGAAACATTTAAACTAAAGTTTTGAGTGTAGCCAAATATTCCATTTACAAGTCTTGTGTTTTGATTAATTGAGTTCCATCTGGGTTTCTTTTGGTTGATTTACAAGGCTGTAGTACAAGGTTTTTTTCAAGAGTTTATATATGCTATCAAGCTGCGCCTGTTCGGGATCCTTTGGATGATAATTGCAGTTTTCTGAGCATAACATTTAAATGGAAAACGTATTTTTTTCTTAAGCTCAATTTTTGTCTTTTTTTTTCTTCAGGCCAGCCTGAACAAGTAATCGGAGTTTTGACATTTTCAATCGATTTTGAATAAGTCCCCGCCTTAGGAGCCTGTAAAAGGTTTTTCTTTCGAAGCTGATCGGAAGAATTGTTTTCGAATGATTCGTCATTTTGGCGTGAATTTGGTGCATATGAAACGCCTTGTAGACACTTTTGAAAAAACCATTTTTTCCTTTTATTTCTCGAAAGGATTTCAGTTGATTTTCACATTTTACTTCTTTTGTCCCAAACGATGCTTCTTATCGGAAAAAAGTGCTCTTGGTCAAATAAATGTCGGGCCTTCTCCAACGTATTTATTCGATATTTTCGAAAAAATGGCCAAGAAACTTTTCCGTTTAGCTCCCAAAGCCTTTTCTCCAGTCTTTTTTTTTGAAATTTTTGTGAAACAAACCACCCTAGTTTTGCAGGTGTTTTGTCTATATCAATTTTTTTTGTAAGGAAACGCAGAAAAGAGTAAAAAATTCTTGCTAAGGTGGCGAGTGGAGATTTTTCGCAAAAGTGTGCCATGAATCAATTTCGAAATAATACCCGAACAGCTCATCAAAAGTTTTCCCACTTTGGCCTAGGGACTTTATCCAAGACAAACCAACCCAGTTTTGCACGTATTTCGTTCACATTAAACGCGTTGTAAAGGAAACATTTTAGAAAATAATTCTTTGTTTTGGGCCAAAAATTCTGCGAGCCTTAACGGTTTGAAGATTTCGTGCGTGAGTTTCACACTTAATTTTTTTTACTCGTAAACAGGGCGTTCTATCGAAAAAAGGTGCGGTTGAAAAAATGTCCGTCCTGGACTAAGGTAATTAATCCGGAGAGATCGGAAGAATTCTTTTCGAAAGATTCGTCATTTTGGCGAGAATTTGGTGCATATGAGACGCGTTGGAAAGAGACACTTTTGAAAAAACCATTTCTTCCTTTTCTTTCTCAAAAGGATTTCGGTTGATTTTCACATTTTACTTCTTTTGTCCCAAACGATGCTTCCTATCGGAAAAAAGTGCTCTTGGTCAAATGTCGCGCCTGCTCCAACGTATTTAGGGGACATTTTCCAAAAAAAGGCCAAAAAACTTTTTCTCCAGTCGCGGAAATTTTTGTAAAACAAACCACCCCAGTTTTGCAGGTGCTTTGTCTATATCGATTTTTGTTGTAAAGAAACGCTTTGTTTTTAGAGCAAAAAATTCTTGCTAAAGTGGCGAGTGGAGATTTTTCGCAAAAGTGTGCCATGAATCAATTTCGAAAAAATACCCGAACAGCTCATTAAAAGTTTTCCCACTTTAGCGTAGAAACTTTGTCCGAGACAAATCAACCCAGTTTTGCACGTATGTCGTTCACATTAAACGCGTTGTGAAGGAAACATTTTAGAAAATAGTTCTTTGTTTTGGGTCAAAAATTCTGCGGGCCTTAAGGGTTTGAAGATTTCGTGCGTGAGTTTCACACTTAACTTTTTTACTCGCAAACAAGGATTTCTATCGAAAAAACGTGCGGTTGAAAAAATGTCCGTCCTGGACTAAGGCAATTAATCCGGAGGTATAGGAAGAATTATTTTTGAAAGATTCGTCATTTTGGCGTGAATTTGGTGCATATGAGACGCGTTGGAAAGAGAAACTTTTGAAAAAACCATTTCTTCCTTTTCTTTCTCGAAAGGATTTCGGTATATTTTCACATTTTACTTCTTTTGTCCCAAACGATGCTTCCTATCGGAAAAAAAGTGCTCTTGGTCAAATGTCGCGCCTGCTCCAACGTATTTAGGGGACATTTTCTAAAAAAAAGCCAAAAAACTTTTTCTCCAGTTGGGGAAATTGTTGTGAAACAAACCACCCCAGTTTTGCAGGTGTTTTGTCCATATCGATTTTGTTTGTAAAGAAACGCTTTGTTTTTAGAGCAAAAAATTCTTGCTTAAGTGGCGAGTGGAGATTTTTCGCAAAAATGTGCCATGAATTAATTTCGAAAAAATACCCGAACAGCTCATCAAAAGTTTTCCCACTTTAGCCTAGGGACTTTGTCCGAGACAAACCAACCCAGTTTTGCACGTATTTCGTTCACATTAAACGCGTTGTAAAAGAAACATTTTAGAAAAAAATTCTTTGTTTTGAGCCAAAAATTCTGCGGGCCTTAAGGGTTTGAAGATTTCGTGCGTGAGTTTCACACGTTATTTTTTTTACTCGTAAACAGGGCGTTCTATCGAAAAAGGTGCTGTTGAAAAAATGTCCGTCCTGGACTATCGGAAGAATTATTATTCCTGATGTTCGATTAGAAGTCAGGACACTTTAAAGAGAGCGCTCAAGTGCCCGGAAACAACCATCTTTAGTCCAAAGTTATGAAGTCTGGCTAAAGTCTGGATTTAGCACGCGATCGGAATGACATTTTAAGAAGTTGCGAAATCAGGTATTTCCTATCGACAGTGAAAATTTCAAGAAGTTTCTAATGTTGGATTAGAAGTTAGAACGCTTTAAAGGAGAGCGTGCAGTTGTGCGGAAACGACCATCTTTAGCTCCACAGTTATAAAGTCTGCTAATGTCAAGCTTTTGAGCAGACGTCATATTGGGGACGTTAGTGTCATTTTTATGACGTTTAATCTACGTTTGACTGTCTGACTTCTGTCACCCAAACAGAAATGACGTGATATTCACGTGTTTCAGCGTCAACGTATGGAAGGCTAATTAATAGCCAATTTCAAGCGTAATGAATCAACAATTTACAAAAACAAACTTTTTATTCGCAAATATTAAGTAATCCTTATAAGGCTTCAACAGAAATCAGAAAAAACGTAAGTAGTGCATTTGAAGATCAAGGAAATAGGCAGTCGGTGTTATGGTCTGGGAATGTTCCGAATGAAGCCTCAAAAAAATTAAGTGAGCTAATCGCTCTTTTGACTCTCCACGGGCCTCTTCTGATTGTAGCTCTCTTTGGCCTGTTTGCGTAGCTTGGAGGACATGGTCGGCCCGGTTTGTTCAACCATTTGGGCAAAATGTCCATCTTTCTGCCCCAGAAGCTCGTGGGGCGGCCCAAATTCCACCGCCTGGCCATGATCCATCACCAGAACTCGATCGCAGTCGATTATCGTGTTAATGCTGCAAAAAGAGCTCTTAACTCGCTCTAAAGCGCACATTAAATCCGTCTTACCGATGCGCTATCGTTATAACTGTGCAATCCTTGAAGGCCTGCCGGATGGTGGTTTGGATCAGGGAGTCGGTGTGTTGATCCACATTGGCGGTGGCCTCGTCCATGACGAGGATTTTGTTTTTCCTTTAAACAGCCAGCGATGAAAGCGTTGTAGATTAGGGTAAGCAACTTACCTAACTATCGCTCGTGCCAGACAAATCAACTGTTTTTGGCCAGCGCTGAAATTGGCTCCACTTTCATTGACCACAGTGTCGAGTGCAACGCCGCTCTGTTTGAGCTCTACACGCTCTACCCCCTTCCAGAGCTCGTCGTCTGCGCGTTTTTCGAAAGGATCCAGATTATATCTGCGGGTTTTATACACATGGTTATTTAGAACGGGTGTGATTTATCTGGAGCATGTGTGGGAAGTATTGTCAAATCGAACTCTCTCATCATAAAGCACATTTGTTTACTATTATGAAACACGCTGTATAGGAAGCTTTATTGAGCTAAAGAGGCCTCTACTACCTGAGAGTCGCGGAGAACAGAGTGGGCACCTGGGGGATAATCGAGATTGCAGATCGCAGCGCCCTCAGACCCACTTTTTCGGTGTTGAGACCGTCAATTTCCACCGCTCCCTCCATGGGGGCCATCCGGAATAAGGTGGCCACCAAAGAGGACTTTCCTAGAAAAAGCACTCATTTACATTGGGTGGATGGCAGAAATCCATACATTTACCAGCCCCGGTTCGTCCGACTATACCAATCTTCTCCCTTGGTTGAATCTCCACATCCAGGTCCCGGATGGAGGGAGGCCCGCCGGGAGTGTAGCGCAAGTAGGCGTGTTTGAAGGTGACGCGACCTTCCCGCGGCCAATCAGTGGGCGGCCTGTCTGCTGGAAGGGG